CTACGAAGACTAGCCTTCTCGGACAAGGGCGAAAAATCTCGGAGGGCCCGTGTGCAAGTTGCGCACGTTAAAGATCCCTTGGTGGTCTAAAATCGATAAGAGTTGGCTTCGGCCGCCACCCGGGCAAAATTCAAAATTTCCTACCAACTGAAAATATAAGGTATGTCCCGCACGTTCATATGACCTTATGCAGTTGCGAGCGCCGTAAAACACTTTACAAAAACAAAAAGAAAAGACTCAACCCGTACTGAGATGGATACTTAGTCCCAACAGAAAGACCGAGATACTCGATTAAAAAAAATTCTCCTTAATAGGGAAACGCCTAACTGCTACACCACTGGCAACGGTAATTATGGGGTAGATAGATGAAAACTAGATAATTATGTTGTAGATAGATTAAAACTGCAGATAATTATGTTGTAGATAGATGAAAACTGTAGATAATTATGTTGTAGATAGATGAAAACTGTAGATAATTATGTTGTAGATAGATTAGAACTGTAGATAAAGGCGGAACAATTCCCTTTTTAAATTTTCAAATGACCCCTTTTAAGCACTAGGGGGCTATCCCGAAAAATACTGTTTTTAGAAAATCCAAGGCAAAGTTTTTGCCCTTTGTTCAGTTTCTTTAAAAGACAATGAAGAGTTTTCTCTGTAACCAAACAAATATACACACCAATAAAACCAAACTTCTCCTATAGGTAGGACACTGCCTACTTTTGGTGTAGGTCAAGATTTCTGAAAATCCCCGAAATCTGGGTTTGCCCGCTTGTCCTTAACCCTGTCCGTACGTCGTGTTTTACTATCGTATCCATACGACGTAGGGAACTCTATGCCACCATTTCCAAAAAGGAAATTTACTCGTTAATCCGATCCGTACGCTTCGCTTAGCAGTCTGGCAAAATGATTTTTTGAGAAATACTGAAAGAATCAAAGAGATCTTCGTACAAGAAGTATTCTAACATGTGAAGAACACAACCCCGGGGACACAAAATTACCCCAGGGCGTACGGATAGGGTTAAAAGCGACCAGTTTCCCGTTGCACCCCCAGTAGAGCTGGGCAATGAGTCACTTAAGCAAATTCCGGATAATATATTAGTGCACCTCTTCGGCAAATAATATGATTTGAACCGCTTCGGCAAATGGGTTAGAATAACTTCGACAAACGGGTTAGCATTACTTCAATAAATGGGTACTTCGGCAAGTGTGTCAGGAAAGGGTGTTCAGAGTCTGAATTCGGATAATGTTTCATAGATAGTTATTTGGATATATATTATCCGGATTTTGTCCACCTCTAACCCCCAGGCCTCGCTGCTGCTGCCCAAGACTGTCCACCTGGGCTCCGCGGCAAAGGCCAGCACTAGGATAAGGTCAGCGACCCTTGACCTGACCACCTCCAGTGGCACGGAGTGTAGCACCACCAGCCAGGAACAGGAACTGGAGGTCCACTCTTACTTTTTGCTGTCATGTATATATATATATATTTATTTTTTTATTATTTTTTAAACGAAGAATGTAACAACTACGACATTAAGATCAACATGAAAAAAAAAACCCCCCAGAGACAATGAAAGTAAGTAGAAAGGTAGAACCACTCAGGATACACATCATCAACAACAACAGTGTCAGACAGGTCCAAGAATTTAAGTACCTCGTAAGTATATTCACAGAGGATGGGCGACTGAACAGAGAAATTGAAACACGAGTACAAAAGGCCAATAATGTTAGTTACCAGTTTACTTCACTACTGAAACATCCTAACATCCCCATGACAACAAAACTCAAAATGATCAACACCATATTCATCCCAACACTCACTTATCAATGCCAAACATGGACCACGAA